CCAGTCTGGGCGACAGAGTGAGACTCCAACTCAAAAAAAAAAAAAAACAAAGAAAACAGAGTTATCAAAACTGGGCCTTTCCATACAAATCATCTTTCCAAAGCATATTCTCACTGAAAGGACAGACCGAGAGTGGGAAGCTATTTTTCTTTTTCTTTTTCTTTTTTTTTGAGTTGGAGTCTCACTCAGTCGCCCAGACTGGAGTGCAGTGACCACTCCTCACCACCGCAGCCTCGACCTGCTGGGCTCCGGCGATCCTTCCGCCTCAGCCTTCCAAGTAGCTGGAACTATAGGCGCGTGCTATCACGCCTGGCTAATTTTTGATTTACTGTAGAGCTGAGGTCTTGCCAAGTTGCCCAGGCGGGTCTCGAACCCACTGGCTCAGGCAATTCACTCACCTCAGCCTCCCAAGGCGTGGGATTACAGGCTGAGCCACTGAGCCCGGCTTAGGAAGCCGTTTTTCATCTTGTTCTTAAACCCTGACACAATGATAAGAAAATAGAAGCTATGCTTTTGGAGAAATGCACACTTTAGGTATAATTAACTTTACCGACTTTGTCTTTTCAGAAAGAGATTTCCGGGTATCAGAGCTATCTCATAGTGGCAATCAAGCTTACCTAAAGTAAAGGAAATTTATAAGGCCTAAGACATCATGCATTGGGCAAGGACTCTAAAAGTCATGAAACTTGTAATTACAAAAGTTATGACCGCTCAGAGGGAGAGCAGGTGGGGATTCGATCTTCCAGTAAATTGGGCACTATCTACAGGGAAGCCAAGGATCCCACAAAGCTACCCACTGGGAATGCCTAGGAGATAAGGGGAGGTGCACCCTCCACTAGCTCTAAGGAATGTCGTTTGGGAAGGTACAGGAGAATTAGAATCCTTGTCACGCCCATCTCTAGGGGCTATGATAATGTGGGTGAACATTAATGGCTCTCTGTGTCACAGGATCTCCAAGACATCCACAGGTGGTCGATAAAAAAGTCATGGCAGTCACGTGCAGCATCTCCAAGAAAAGGATTTAAGCCAGGACTTTGGGGGGCTACGCCGCCACACTCACCTAGAGTGTAGGCCCACTCCCTGTCTGTGGGGGATGAACTTTTTTAAAATAAATCTTCTTTTCTCACCTCTGTGTGTCGCAATTCTTTGCAATTTACTCGGATCTCTGGGTTCCCGGCGTGCACCTCCGGCTTGCCAGCTCCGGCAGTACTGCGCGCCTCTCCACTCTCCACCCTCACCGGTCCGTCCGTACCCTAACACCCACAAGTGTATCATTGGAGATATGCCTCATGATTACACTAACCTGAACTCATTGAAGCCATATTTAACATGTAAGCACCAAGAAAGCAGCTTTAACACGTGTAGAAAACTGAGGCAAACAGTTCCTGGTTTTATCAATAAAAACCGATTTGCATTCATGGGAAGGTCTCAAAGTGAGCAACAGAGGAAATTATCCCAGTAGTTCCAGTTGTCCATACAAAGCTTCTGAACCTGGATGAGTTCATTGGGGAAGTCCAGGGAAGGGGTGGGGGAAGAAAGTGCTAAGAAAAAATTAACGGCAACTGTCTCAATGTCCTCTTTCCACAGGGCCTGTCGTTCCATCACAACCCTTATTTCAGAAGCAAGGAATGTATGTTTTGCTCCCCTTTTCAACTCAGGGAAGAGAATTAAAATTGCTCAGTCTCCTTGGGCTTGCAGCCGTTTCTGTGCGGGCGCCCCCAGGCAGTGCCATAGTGGGCCTGGGAGCCAGATTGCCTAGGAACCCTCTATGGTAGCCAGCATCTCCCTACACTTCCTCAGGAACAAGCCTTCAGTGGCGTGGCAGTAGTTTCTCTCGAAAAGCACCGGCTTTCGTTCCTCTCACGCCCCCTCCCTTCCCATTACCCGGTAAACCACCACATAACTCCCCACCCACCCAACTCCCCCTCAAAAGCGGGTAGCGAATCGGATCCTAACAGTCCAGTAGCCCCCGGCTCAGGGCTCAGCAGACTTGACAACCACCCGGTGAGAGCACTGCCTCGCGGCCTTCCCTGTGGCCCGCCAGCCGTGCGGGACCCCAGGAGCGCCTGTCACAGGTCGCCGCACGCACGCAGCCCCTGAGACAGCGAGACCGAGACGCCAGGCACGCGCAACCCTGGGGCTGCAGGTGAGGGCAGGGGCGGGACGAGGCCCAGAGACTACGCCCCCACCCTCCATTAATAAAACGCAAGATTTTTAAAAAAGCTTCATTTACCGACATGAGTGATCACTGTGGCCAGTCGCCGGGTGAGCTCCTGGGGGGCCATTTCTTCTTTTAACCAAAATAGCATTTCGATGAAAAGCCACTCAGCATAAATAAAGCCAAACCAAACTGTGCCTACTGCCGCTGTGGATCACTTGTAAGAGGCATCTCTTCCCGAGGATGCTCTGCCCTGACCCTCTTCAGGCACAAAACGAGGACCACTCGCAGCCAAGGCCAACTCTCCGGAGCGGCTGGGCTGGAGCCTGCCAGCAACGCCTTGCAGGGGCGTATTTTTAAGATCAAATCTGGCGGCTTTCCAAACGCCACAGCTGGCATTTAGAGAGAGGGAAGTGGCAGCCCTGGAGGGGAGAAAAAGCACGTCGCCCCGGTCTCGCCGCGACAGCGCCCGGGCTTCTCCGGCGATGGGGCGCCGGGGCTCCTGGGTTTGTGGTCCCTGCCGTCGGGGCTCCGGCACCGCCTCCAGGACCGCGGGGATGCAGGATGCTCTGCCCTCGCGGAGGAGGCGCGGAGCCTGCGCGCCGGGAGGCGGGAGAGGAGGGCGGAAGCGGGAGGGCGGCTGGCGGCGCTGGCACCTCTGCGCCGCCCACTCC